TGGGCGACAGAGTGAGACTCGACTCAAAAAAAAAAAAAATTTGAGTCTTAGAACTGTAGATGTTGTTGGGAGTGATGATTGCACTGACTTCTGAAGTTAATACGGTAATTATTTTGTTAATTGTGTTGAATGATGCAGTTGTATAAACCAATTCTGTGTATTTTCTTTAGAGCTCGGTTCCCCAAAACTTACACAAGCAGGAAAACTCAAGACAAAGGAATCTAACAAGGTATGTCATTACAGAAAATAGTTCCTGACTTTATTGGTTTTGGAAACTTGTGTTAGAAATTCTTCTTAGATTATTAAAAGTGTCTTTTTCTTTGAACTGTATTAGTTCAAAGTTGATATTCTGGAGAAGTGTAGCTTTTATCAAATCCCATGTGCCTTTGTTATCATGGATGTCTCTCAGTTTAGTTAATGTCATTAAATAGTGCTAGAAGTTTGATTGTAAGACCAGAGCATTCTGATTTCAAAATGTTCTGTTGTTTGGAGAAACTGCTGCATTAATTTGGCAGATGCCTGCATATACTCGAATATGAATGATTTTTTAAAAAACTGTCACATTTTGAAAAAATTTTCTCTGTTTAAAATTCCTAAAACTAATTTGCAGACATAACACTTCTTTGTTACTTCTCAGGCTAGTGATTTCAGCGATATGGCAAGTTGGCCAACACCAAGTGAATTATTGAACACCGGAGTGAGTATCATTTTTAAGACTTTAAAAAAATAAAACAAAATTTACATTTCAACATACAGAATTTCAATTTTCTTGAGATGTAAGTAGCTGTCACTTTGGAATGGATATAAAAACTTGATTCACCACTACGATTACTTCACTACGAGTTTAATTTGCAGTCACACTTTGGCACTGCCAGTAGTGAATTTTAGGAATGAAGTTTTGATGTCTTAAGCTTTGCCAGTGGTAAGCTTTACCTGTTTTTTGTTTTTTTTTTTTTGAGTTGGAGTCTCACTCTGTCACCCAGACTGGAGTGCAGTGGCCGCTCCCGGCCACCGCAGCCTCTACCTGGTGGGCTCCGGCGATCCTTCCACCTCAACCTTCCAAGTAGCCGGAATTACAGGCATGTGCCACCATGCCCGGCTAATTTTTGACTTATTGTAGAGATGAGGTCTCGCCAAGTTGCCCAGGTGGGTCTCGAACCCGTGGGCTCAGGCAATCCACTCACCTCAGCCTCCCAAAGTGCTGGGATTACAGGCTGAGCCACTGAGCCTGGCTTACCTGGTATTTTTTTTTAATAGTGAACTCATGTCACAAGGCATGATACATCAAAATACCATGTTTATAAAATCACTTGCACTGATCAAGCTGTGCTGAGGTCTGCAGCCGCCCTCATGCAGCTCTGCCTACTTGACAGACACTTAATCTCACTGTCTGTCTGTGATTGTGTCCTTGGGGGTAACTGTGTGTCATGAGCGTGATAGTATACTTGGTGGTCGCCTTTCTGTAATGCCTACAAATAAAGAGATTAATTTTAAATGTCTAGCCGGGTACGGTGTCTCACGCCTGTCATCCCAGCACTTTGGGAGGCTGAGATGGGAGGATTGCCTGACTCCAGGAGTTTAAGACCAGCCTGGACAACACGGTGAGACCCTGTCTCTATAATAAATAAAAAAAAAACTAGCTAGATGTGGTGGCATGTGCTTGCAATTCCAGCAGTTTGGGAGATGGAGGCGGAAGGATCACCCGAAGTCAAGGCTGCGGTGTCCGTGAGTATGCCCCTGCACTCCAGCCTGTGCGACAGAGTGAGACTCCAACTCAAAATGGAAAAAAGCTAACTTCTAATGGAAGTCCTTTTGTGTTTCAGAATTTGTGCCATGTATGTATGTTTTGTGTGACTTACAGTCTTTTCTTATTTTTTGAGTTGGAGTCTCACTCTGTTGCCCAGGCTGGAGTGCAGGGGCATGCTTCCTGCCACTGCAGCCTCAAGCTGTTGGGTTAAGGTGACCCTTCCGCCTCAGACTTTCAGGTAGCTGGAACCACCGGCGTGCCACCATGTCCAGCTAATTTTTTGATGTATTGTAGAGACAAGGTCTCGCCAAGTTGCCCAGGCTGGTCTCGAACCCGTGGGCTCAGGCCATCCTCTTGCCTTGGCCTCCCAAAGTGCTGGGATTATAGGCATGAGCCACCTTGCCTGGCCTATAGTCTTTTCAATATATTTGGAAGTGTGGACTGTATCTGTGTATGCACATGCACCTGTGAACTGTATGTGCATATCATATCATATCAAGAAGTGTGCAGTGAATGGATATTTAATTTTAGCTGTGAAAGCAGCTCAGAAAGCTGGCTCTACCGCAGCCAATCACGAGGCTGGGCATGGTGGTTCATGCCTGTAATCCCAGCACTTGGAGAGGCTGAGGCAAGAGGATCGCTTGGGCCTAGGAGTCTGCGACTAGCCTGGGCATCACAGTGAAACTTTGTCTCTACAAAAGATAAAACAGCATATATAAAGTGTACAGTTTGCTGAGACCAGCCCAAGCAACTTGGCAAGACCTCATCTCTACAATAAATTAAAAAATTAGCCCAGTGTGGTGGTACGCGCTTGTGGTTCCAGCTACTTGGAAGTCTCTGAGGTGGAAGGATCACCTGAACCCAGCAGGTCGAGGCTGTGGTGGCCGTGAGTGTACCACTGCACTCCAGTCTGGGCGACCGAGTGAGACATCTACTCAAAAAATAAATAAAGTATACCATTTGCTACATTTTGACCTGTGCATACCTGTAAAGCCCTTGTCACAGTCTGGATAATGACCTGAACCATCCTCCCACCGATGTGTCCTCCCCTTCCTGTGATTCTTTCCATCTCATTCGCTCCACTGTCCAGGCCACCACTGATATGCTTCCTGTCACTGTAAATCAGTATATATTTTCTAGAATTGTAGGTGTGTTCTTTTTTTTCTGGCTTTCCCTCAGGGTGACGACCTTGAGTCGAACGCATGCTGTGTGTCCCTAGTTCACGTCTTTCTGTTGCTGAGGAGTCTTGCCTTGCCTGGCTGTCACCCTGTCGCCTGTTGTTAGCGGACATTGGGGTGATTCTGGTTTTTGGCAGTTACTAATACAGCTGCTGTCTGTCTTGCCTCACTTCTGTTGGAGGGGGAAGCAACCCTGCTGTATGAACATTTGCATGCAGGGTTTTGCATGGATATACGCTTTCATTTTTCTTGGGTTTATAACTAGCCTGGTACGGTAGCCATTTGTTTTAGCTCCTCAGCAGTATAAGAGGATTCTAGTCATTCCACATCCTCATGCACTCTTCATATGACCAGTTTTTACCTTTTTTTTTGAGTCAGAGTCACATTCTGTTGTCCAGGCTGAAGTGCAGTGGCACACTCGTGACCACTACAGCCTCGACCTGCTGGGGTCAGGCGATCCTTCTGCCTCAGCCTTTCAGGTAGCTGGAACCATAGGCATGCGCCATTACGCCTGGCTAATTTTTGGATTTATTGTAGAGAGGAGGTCTCGCCAAGTTGCCCGGCTGGTTTTGAATCTCTGTGCTCAGGCAGTCCTCTCGTCTCCGTCTCCCAAAGTGCTGGGATGACAGGCGTGAGCCGTGGCACTCAGCTGGTTTTCTGTTTTTGATAAAGTTACTTTGTCATTTGTTTCCAGTATTTAAGTGAGGTGAGATGCCTCACCATACGCTTGGGGGATGTGTTCACGGAGACTGATGAAAAGGGTTTCATTCGGAAAGTCTCTTTCAGTCTCAGAATGTTGTGTGTCAAGGAAATAAGAAGCCACAGACCAGAAAAGAAAAAGAAGAAAAGGTTGAAAAGAGAAGTGATGGTGAGAGCAAAGAAAACCGAGAAACCAAATCAGATGGTCCTGGCGAGAATGTCAGCGAGGATGAGGCGCAGTCAAGTAACCAGCGAAGAAGAGGTCAGTCGATTCGCATCTTCATTTCATTTTTAAGCTTTTCAAGAAAGTTGAAATGAAGGATTTAATCAGTTGATCCCTGGTGGTCAGAAAATGTGTATTTCGTCTTTCATCGGGATACACATTCTGCAGTGGTAACTGATTGCTTTTGTAATATTTCTGAACCATTAGGCTTTCCTTTTTGCATGCAACTTGTCTTCTTTTTTTTTTGTTTTGTGAATCGGAGCCTCACTCTGTCGCCCAGTCTGGAATGCAGTGGCACGCTACTTACGGCCACCGCAGCCTTGACCTGCTGGGCTCCAGCGATCCTTCCGCCTCAGCCTTCCAAGTAACTGGAACTACAGGCATGCGCCACCACACCTGGCTAAGTTTTTGATTTATTGTAGAGATGAGGTCTTGCCAAGTTGCCCAGGTGGGTCTCGAACCCGTGGGCTCAGGCAATCCTCTTACCTTAGCCTCTCAAAAATGCTAGGATTATAGGCGTGAGTCACCGCGCCCAGCTGTAACTTGTATTCTCTGGAACGAAGCCCTGCGTAGGTATCTTGGTCGATAAATTCGTGATTAGTCGTGATGACTGTTCTTTTAAATCCTCATTGGAACTGCTCTGTGTATTTGCAGAGGACTAAGAAAAGTAAACATTTTCCTAAAAGGAAAGTGAGAACAAGTCTAGCCAGCAGTCTCCCTGTAGAAATTACATGTTGAGGGAATAATAACGCTGTCTGCACGTCCCTCCTCGTTTCTTCGCTGACCTTTCCACGAGTCTAGGGACAGGTGATGTATCCTCTGCCTTAAGAGCTTCAGCTCGCCCATTGCCGGGGCCCGTGTGGAGAGTCCTGGGGAGCTGCCTGGAAGAGGAGGGCGCACATTGTCGGAGGGCTGGGGCCAGAGCAAGGTGGGCGTGGGGTTGGCGCCGAGGCCCAGGCAGGGGCCATCCAGGGTCTTGGGAGCTGGCTAGGGTTTTGTTCTGAGTGCCGTGGGAGGCCATCAGACCTCTGGGTCTGCAGAAGTGACCTGGCGCGGGAGGGGACGTGTAGTGGTGCGGCAGCTGCCAGCTGCCAAGGGAACACTTGCTTGAGTCGTTTGCCTTTTGGATGCCTTTCTACCCTTGGCTGCGGGCAAGCCGTGGGAACGGTGGAGGACACGCCAGGGACTCCTTGCTCGGAAGCGGTGACCATGGGAGGCCCAGGGCTTTGGCAGAATCACCCAGGTCTTGCCACGTCACCACCTTCCCCTGCATTCTGGATGCCCGAGGGGTCTTGGCTGTGTTGACGGCCGCGACGGACGACAGGCCTGCCGGCCTGCTCAAGAATGCGTCCTTATTAATTGCTTCAGTTAAAACTGGTCAGTCAGTTCTAAAGCCAGGGGTCTTCTGGTCGGAATAGTTTCTGTAGTTGAGCCATGAATTGATCTCTTGGAGCACACATTTTACCTTTTAATTTAAAGTTTTTTTTTAGACACAGGGTCTCACTCTGTCATCCAGGCTAGAGTGTAGTAGAATAATCATAGCTCACACCAGTGTCAAACTCGTGGGCTCAAGCGATCCTCCCACCTCAGCCTTCTAAGTAGCAAGGACAACAGGTGTGCACCACCATACCTGGTTGATTTATTTTTTTTTTTGGTGGAGACAAGGTCTTGCTATGTTACCCAGGCTGGTCTCAAAACTCCTGTGCTCAAGAGATATTCATGCCTTGGCCTCCTAGAGTGTTGGGATCACAGGTGTGAGCCGCTGCACCCAGCTCAGAGTGCTTTCAAGGTGCAAGGCTTTAGTGAAAATCGGGCATTTCATGAAATGGTTTCATTTTGTTTTCTTCAAGCCAATAAACACAAGTGGGTTCCACTCCACTTAGACGATGTGAGGCCAGACAGTCAAGAAAGACCTGGGTCCCGGAGCGGCTCCAGATGTCCACCTGAAGCAAGCAGACCGGCTTACGCCAACAGGAGGAGCGACCTACGGAGTGAGTGCCGTCCCTGGGGGGCGACTGGCGAGGGTGCCCGGTGCCAGTGCTGAGGACGAGCAGCCGCCGGACCGCGGCCCCAGACGCCTTCGGGGCGTCCTTCGGAAGAGCGGCGCGCCCGCAGTGCGGCTGACGGCTGCAGTCTTCGCGTCAGTGTGACAGGGCTGTCCCGGGGCAGGCTGTTCCCAAGAGGGTCCTGGATGGCCTCTCAGGGTCCATTCTGGGGCCACGCATGGCTCTTGTTTCTTTATGTTTTGCTTTTCTGAGTCAGTCTCGTTCCGTCACCCAGGCTGGAGTGCAGTGGCACACTCATGGTCACTGCAGCCTCGACCTGCTGGGCTCCGGTGGTCCTTCCGCTTCAGCCTTCCAAGGAGCTGGAACCACAGACATGCACCACCACGCCCGGCTGATTTTTTGATTTATTGTAGATACGAGGTCTCGCCCAGTTGCCCAGGCTGGTCTCGAACCCTAGTCTCAGGCCATCCTCTCATCTCCGCCTCCCAAAGTGCTGGGATGACAGGCTTGAGTCACCTCGCCTGGCTGTCACACATTGCTTTCAGCTTTCTTTTTTGTGTAGGCTCCAGTCATCTTTAACGTTTCCTCTGCTTTTGTCTTTCATGACATTGGCATTTTTGAAGACGAGCGGATAGTTATGTCCTAGATAGTCCTCATTTTGGGCTTGCTGACATTTCCTTGGGATAGGGATTTTTGGCAGAAATACTATAAAAGCTCATTTTCTTCTCAGTGCATCACATGGGAACAAGCATGATCTTGGCTTGTCCCATCATGGAAATATTAACATTGGTCCCTTGGTTAAGGTGGTATATTCAAGATTTTAACAAATTAAAGACACGCTTTTCAGATTTTTTTAAGCTGTAAAGATACTCTTTTCTGGCCAGGTGCAGCGGCTCACACCTGTGATCCCAGCACTTTGGGAGGCTGAGGTAGGATTGCTTGAGCCCAGAAGATTGAGACCAGGCTGAACAACATAGTGAGACTTTGTCTCTACAAAAAAAAAAAAAAAAAAAAAAAAAAAAATTAGCCAGGTGTGGTGGTGCGTGACTGTGGTCCCAGCTACTTAGGAGGCTGAGGTGGACGGATTGCTGGAGCCCAGGAAGGCTGCTGCGAACTGTGATTGTGCCACTGCACTCCAACCTGGGTGACAGAGTGCAACCGTGACTCAAGGAAAAAGGTACTCTTTTCCCTCTTTGTAATTATTGTCTAATTAGTGTGGAGAAACTTTGAGAATGTAGAAATAGTTTTCCCATCAGATTTCAAACAGGCTTTAGATGGTTTTGATGGGTTCAGTTATTACTATAATGGTTTCAAATGCTGATTTTTTTCATTACCGCATTGTTCCTTTTATATTTGTTGGCATTCTACTATAAGGAACAACTTCCTTCTCTTTTAGAACTTTTTTTTTTTTGAGTTGGAGTCTCACTCTGTCGCCCAGACTGGAGTGCAGTGGCCGCTCCCGGCCACCGCAACCTCGACCTGCTGGGCTCCGGCGATCCTTCGCCTCAGCCTTCCGAGTAGCCGGAGTTACAGGCATGCGCTACCATGCCCGGCTGATTAGAACTTTATTTTTTAAGAGTTTGGGCCTCCCTCTGTCGCCCAGGCCGGAGTTCAGTGATGGCTCATTGCATGCTTGGCCTTCTGGACTCAGGTCATCATTCTGTCTCTGCCTTCCAAGTAGCTGTCACTACAGGCATGTGCCACTACACCCAGCCAATTATTTTATTTTTATTTTTGTGGAGATCGGGATCTTGTAGATTCTTTGTGGTGTAGGCTGGTCTCAAACTCCTCGCCTCAAGTGATCCTCTCACCCTAGCCTCCCAAAATTGTTGGGATTATAGGAGTGAGCCACTGTGTCCAGCTTAAGAGCAACTTCTCATTATTATCATTGTGGACTAATAACTTCTTACTTATTCTGTGGGTTATAATCTGTTCTCAAATTGCTGCAGGTTTGGCTAATGTGAGGCTTCTCCAGCTGGTTTCTGGGCCCTTTTTAAAAAAGCAACTTCACTGAGATACAAATTACATTTTTTTTTTTTTTTTTTTTTTTTGAGTTGGAGTCTCACTCTGTTGCCCAGACTGGAGTGCAGTGGCCGCGCCCGGCCACTGCAGCCTCGACCTGCTGGGCTCCGCGATCCTTCCGCCTTAGCCTTCCAAGTAGCCGGAACTACAGGCATGCGCTACCACGCCCGGCTGATTTTTTGATTTATTGTAGAGATGAGGTCTTGCTACCCAGGCGGGTCTCGAACCCGCGGCTCAGGCCATCCACTCACCTCAGCCTCCCAAAGGCACGGGATTACAGGCTGAGCCACCGAGCCCGGCCAATTTACATTTGTTAAAATGCACATTGTTGTCACCAGCCCCCACCACTGAGCTGCTATACCACAGGTTGGACTTTCTCGAATTCCACATTGGTGAGACTGTATGATGTGCGTGACGTGCTCTTGCGCCTCCTTTTCCTCAGGGCCGTGCTTTTGGGGTCGCCGGTGTTGGTCCACATACTCATAGCTCCCGTCTCCTGAGTGTCCTGCCGTGTTCTGCGGAAGGGGTGTACCCTTTGTCTGTTCACCTTTGGTGGCCGATGGGCTTGTGGGCAGCTTTTGGCTGCTGTCAGTGACGGCTGGGGCATGCTTGTGTGCGAGTCCCTGCGTGGAGTCGTTCGCTTCTCAGGCAAGAGACTTGGTAGGGCGTGTGGCAGCTGTGTGCTCAGCATCACACGAATGACCAGGCTCCTTGTGCTGGCTCGAGTTCTCATCAGCAGGGTTTCGTCTCTGCTGTTTGCTCGAGCCTGTGTCCTGAGGATTGTCCTGCTGTGGAGGCGACTGGTGGCTTTGTCATGTGTTCTTCACACACTCCTTTTATCCTGTCTCTAACTGGTTATAAGAGCCACGAGTTGATTAAGTTCAGGGTTTGTTTTTTGTTTTTGTCTGTTTTGGTCGGAGTGTCTTATGTGTGTATTCCCTACCGAGTACAGCAGGAAGAACAGACTGTCTGGGAGTTTCACAATCAGTTGTGTTGAGCATGAGCTGTCCAGATGTTGGTAACCGACCCATCCGTCACCAAGTGTCCTGGCTTCTTCTAGTTAATGGTTTTACTTTCCTTAAAAATTGCTGCCCAGCTGGGCTCGGTGGCCCAGCCTGTCATCCCGCGCCTTTGGGAGGCTGAGGTGAGTGGATTGCCTGAGCCTGTGGGTTCGAGACCCGCCGGGACAGCGAGACCTCATCTCTACAATAAATCAAAAAATGAGCTGGGCGTGGTAGCGCGCGCCTGTAGTTCCAGCTACTTGGAAGGTGAGGCGGAAGGATTGCCGGAGCCCAACAGGTCGAGGTTGCAGTGGCTGGGAGCGGCCACTGCCCTCCAGTCTGGGCAACAGAGTGAGACTCCAACTCAAAAAAAAAAAAAAATCGCTGCCCAACCGGGCTCTGTGGCTCAGCCTGTCATCCAGCACTTTGGGAGGCCGAGGTGAGTGGATTGCCTGAGCCCCTTGCATTGCAGGTTTGAGACCAGCCCAGGCAATTTATCTCTATGATAAATAAAAAATTAGCCGAGTGTGGTAGTGCGTGCCTGTAGTTCTGGCTACCTGAAAGGCTGAGGCGGAAGGATCACTGGAGCCCAGTGGTTCGACACTGGGGTAGCCATGAGCATGCCACTGCATTTCAGTCTGGGCAACAGAGTGAGACTTTTAACTCA